ATAAGTGGGCGTGTGCGAATCCACTCTTTGTTCCTCTACAGTCGAGGACACACGCTGTTGCGTCACAGAACATAATCTTACCGTGCAAATGGATTTGTCATAAATCAGATAAATATATGAGCTAGAATTTACAATTTTATATACCGTCCACAATGCAACATTATCAAGATTTAAAATTAAATCCTTTTTAAAATCCGTCACTGCTGTACATGTTTCAACCTACTTGGGCGATCCACTGATCCACAGCACCAAACGATAAAATTGGCTGCCTTCACGTACATTGGAAAATGCACGGAAAGGGTCACAAGGGTCTTTAAAGCAACACCAATAAAACCCGCATTCAGAACATGGAACACAATACAGAACATAATCAAACAATACTCACAAACAAATAAGAACAAAATTGGCATATACCAAATGAAATGCCTTGATTGCATATTGAAATACATAGGACCAACAGGTAGAACATTTCACATTAAATATAAAGAACATATAATTAGAAGTAATAATGACAATTCCGGATATTCAAATCATATATTGAACACATGTGGCATAATAACAGACACAATGGACGTCATAAAAATAGAGAAAAAGAAAACATTTGAACACACTAGAAGAATAACATATACTCGTATATCAAATTATTAAAGGCAGATTATACATGAATGACACATACATCGATATGTATAACTTTATATTTGAAACACTACACCAGACAGCAGCACACTTGCCCCAATCCCCTATATAAAACAGAACCAGTTCCCCAACACAATCATTATATCCACACTGCACTGTAGATAGGCAACAGGCATTCCGAAAGTAAGCACGCATTAAACCGTGTTAACAATATACAGCTTAAAGGCATCCGATGAAAAGAAAATACTAACACAGTTTGACATTACACATTACAGAGACAATACATGTGGCATGGAAGGAGGAACTGATTGACGTCGTTTAGAAACATTATAACCGGTTGCAGTAGTGCGGAAGGCACAGCAGCCCCCCCCCCCGANACTGAAGGAGCTGGCTTTTATATGTGGAGTGAGGATTGGTTAGTAGTTGCCAGGTATTTCGTTCAGCACCCTTCGCCAAAATTATTAGAGCAATGAAATAAAAGATGAGGCGGACGGAACATTGGAGAAATGAGAAATGCGTACAAAAATTTAGTCGGAAATCCTGAAGGAAAAAGACGACTTGGAGCAATGTTCCCTCTTAGCCGGGGATGCAAATGGCCAAGTAACTGTGTCTTCTAAGCAACAGTTTGGTTGGCTTAGGAGAACCCTGGCGGGGGAAGAGATTTTTGAAAAAGGTCTATAACAGGCATTACATTTGTAAGCCCCCCAAAATAAAAAAAAATATTGTATTTTAGTTTTTTTTCAATTTTATGCTTGTTAATATAAATTGAGTATATGCTGAACTAATATAAGTGTGCGGGACACTCTGACTCATGTGCGGGAGTGCGATAGCCGCTGCGCGCGCAGCTTGAGGGAATATCGCTTGGGATGCGTATGACGGATTTATAATATTAAAATGGAACTTGCATAAATAGGGTGTGTGAATGTTGATTAAATTAATCTGGCTCAAGCTAGGATACAATTATAGATTTGTCACCAGAGAAATGGTTTATTTCGTTATATTTATTAACAATTGCAATTGTCTACATGCCGCAGTTTGTATAAGAATAGTACTTCGCTGCTGTGTGGCAGAAGTGTCATTTGGCTACCAAGGTCACCGGATTTGACACAGTGTTTTTGTTGGGATTATGTAAAGAGTATAGGTTAAGCGAAACAGGAAGTTAGAGGACACATGTATTCTGAGCTCCCAAGCATTTATCTGTAGATAAAATCTGTCATCCACAAAAGAGAATATAGTAATTTGTTCTAATAGCAATTCTTGAGGATCTGAGATTCATGAAAAACGTAATGAACATTGTTCTGGCACAGCAAAAGTCTGTATTAAGTCATGGCGTGTTACAGCGAATAGTCAGTACATATTGCCATATAGTGGATCATTTATCTCTTATATCGTTTGTATTCTGTAGGTGTTACAGAAAGTGGGCAGTAAAGGTAAAGCTATCCCTGTAACAGACCATGGACGCCCATAAGGTTGTGAGACGTTGAGACGTCGAGGCTCCCACATTATCTAGACAATCGGCTCACAGATGGCAATAAAGCTGTCAGCCTTACGCGACTGCCGTCCTATACTCCCCAAGAAGATCCCTGATACTCATTTCTGTTAGAGGCTTAGCCGATCCCAGTACCATAGTACGGCTGGAAGGAGTACGTCAATTGAAAAAATCCACCTCATCGGGACTTGAACCGGCGATCTTCCGGCTTGTAACATAGTTCCTCAACCAACTACGCTACCGCGTGGAAGGTGAGCAGTACAGAGACAAAATAGATTCATCAGACATTTATAGACTTAATAGGGAGACTCAACAGAGACGTAGGTTTGCTGTGGGGCTTGTATATTGAACTTTAAGGAAATTTAACTGGGTCAATCAAGACGTAGAAATAAACTTAGTAACTTAAATACAGAGCCTGTTACGGTAGCCGAGCGGTCTAGTTAGTTAGTTATTGGTGAGGGTGGGTTTCCCCATGCACTTAGACCAGTATTGGTCCATTGTGCTTCCCTCTATGGTATTCTACCAGTCTCTATACCCTACCGATATTGGTGTGTACNACGAGTCATTAGGTGGAAACGTTACCTCTAGACTACGGAGGCCGCTTGCTGAGCGGTCTAAGGCATGCACTGTCTTCGCTCGCTTGGAAACCGGGATCGTGGGTTCGAATCCCACTCAAGGCATGGAAGTTTACTTTGTGTGTGTGCGTTTTTCTGTGTTTGTGTACAGATAGAGGCCTTGAGGCGAGCTGATCACCCGCCAAAGGAGTCCTACCGAATGTGTAAGGTCTAGAAAAACCGAAGTGAACGGAGAAATTCATGGAGGTAGGCCTAGGCCCACTGGGGCTGTAGTGCCAAAGAAAAAAAATCTTAAATATAGATGCAAACGGTTGATATCGACCTGGATCTTAATGAAATAAAGCATGAAGGTGCTGATTTGATTCACCTGGCTCAGAATAGAGATGAATAACTAAACTGCGTGGCCTGTAGTCCACAAGCGAACTACACCGACCGAGCGACCGCCGCTTGTCGGCGAAGTTAGTGCCAATTTTAGCGGAAAGAGGGTATCTCGTGGTCAGCGCAACTGATCCTCACAGCCGGTAATCTCGATTTTCTAGACTGGAGCTGCTGTTTCCTTGAAATAGCTCCTCAGTTATCCTCACGAGGCTGAGTGGACCCCGTTCCAGACCCACTACTTCTCAGAAAATCTGGTAGCGCTGGGAATCAAACTCGGGACCTCTGGATCTGTAGCCGGGAACTCTGACCACTATATCACATTTTGGTCAGAGATGAATAACAGGAAATGAGTCTTCATGTCCTATAAAAGCTGGTTATTTATTTGACTAGATCTTATGAAGGAGGACTGCTGCATTGAATTAGTAAATATCGTTTAAGAAGATATTCGCCAGGTTCAAATTATAGGCCTGTAGTAATTTAATGGCTTGTGGTCAGTATTTTGTAGTTTTGTATTTAAGCATTCTGTTGCATTAATATATTTTTGTACTCATATTGCCGTCTTAAATAAAACTTATTATCTGTTTACCCTTCTTCACTATATGTTTCGGTCGCATACGGCCATCATCAGGTGTTGTCTATCTTCCTAAAATTGTTGCACTGTATGTAAGAAAATATGTATCCTAATTAAAGTAAAATAACCTTGAATTAAAACTAATTAACCTCTTAATGTTTTTCGCCATTGCTATCGTCGTCCATTCATATAAAATATATTTGCTTGAGTATTTCTCGTCGTTGGATTTACTGACGCTGCATTCCCTTTGCGGCGTTGGTATTTTGCGTATTGTGCATTTCGTAAGGATATCGTGATGTAGTGCTCTTGTAAGTGTTACGTAGGTTTTTCCATGCTGCTATGTTGTTAAGTGCGCTTGCATGTGTAGATATTACGTAGTCTCGCTGTAAAGTGAACCTTATGGAGAATCGAAGCAAATTATGTGACTGGAAGTGAAGGCAACATATCACCTACAGATATGCATGGATCATACTAATTAATGGGGGATAGAAACGGAGATTCATGTAGGAGTTAATGAGGATGACGGCATGGCAAAGAGACAAACACAGACAAAGAAACAGCGTCCGCTCTAGTCTCTTACAGAAGTTGAGATGTTGGCATGTTCAGTAGTGAGGCCTTTTTGTGCGTCAGGACTCAGACATCAGTATTAAGGAACATCACCAGTGCACGTTATCGACAAGTTGACGTCATGTCAACTTGAGAAGATGTGATAAGACGCACACGTGCAGACTCGAGTCTGAATCACGAATGAAGCAAGACTGCGTCTTTTGTCTCATGTCTTGATGCTTGTCTTGACGCAGTTGGTGTGCGGTCGTCCTAAGGTAGACCGCACACCGGTATGCGTCAAGACGTGTAACAGTCAAGACAATGTCTGCGACATGACGCAAAGAAGGTAGCACAGTTGAAACAAATGAGATCATGAAAACCGCCGCACACCAGTCTGAGTCATGATGCTGACGTCGGCTTGATGCTGACGAATCACGAATGAAGCAAGACTGCGTCTTTTGTCTCATGTCTTGATGCTTGTCTTGACGCAGTTGGTGTGCGGTCGTCCTAAGGTAGACCGCACACCGGTATGCGTCAAGACGTGTAACAGTCAAGACAATGTCTGCGACATGACGCAAAGAAGGTAGCACAGTTGAAACAAATGAGATCATGAAAACCGCCGCACACCAGTCTGAGTCATGATGCTGACGTCGGCTTGATGCTGACGAATCACGAATGAAGCAAGACTGCGTCTTTTGTCTCATGGCTTGATGCTTGTGTTGACGCAGTTGGTGTGCGGCCACCCAAACATGCATGAGAGAACTTGCTGATAGATCTAGCCTACTGTACATGTTGCTGCTCTTACCTGAGTGAAGTCTGCCCCAATGAATGCTTGTTCCATGCCAATCCATACAGTTATTGGAATCAGCAGCTGCTGATTGGGTTTCTTCAGATGATATGCTGTTGCTGATAGCAGCTGTATGCCACTGAGCTCGGTGCCGTCATTCCGACGCTGTTTCTCACCGTATCTAAATACAGAGAAATTAAATTTATGGTGGATACTGTGGAATTTTTTCTCAAAGCAAGAACTGTGAAGCTCCATAAACGGCCGTTGCTAGAGAACGGCTCTGAAACAACGTTAGATTCTAAGCAACGGCCGTGAAGCAGACAACGAAACGACGGCTGTTGATAGGCAGCATATTGTTAATAAGCAAGAATAGTTGGCCGTTGCTAAGGCACGGCACGGTAAACACGTTCCCGTGGAAACAACATACGTGAATTAACGGTATTGTCTGCACGGGCCATGACTACGAGTTATAAGAGGACAACTGGGACAATCAACTCGGTTCTGTAGGGGAGTCTGTGAAGAAAGGGACCAGTTATCAGAGCCGCCGTGCAGAAAGGACTTCAGACCGGAAACAGAGGAATAGTCACTGTTAGAAACCGTTATCGGGGAACGGCTGGTGAAAACAGAGCAGGCTGTAAAAGACTTGGGTGTTCTGTGGTGATTTATAAAGTTTAGACATCAGCGATAGCGCTGTAATTACTTGTAGTTCCGGGCCGTGGGTATAAGTGGTCAATAAATCCAATATCCAATCCAAAACCCCGTCGAGAGCCACACTTATTCTAACATGTGACAATACATTTCAATTGTTAACAGTGAATTTAATCGGTAGACGCTAATTAATCTGTCTTAAATACGTACATAGATTTAGGATGTGTCGAATTCCGATAGTAATCAGTACATTGAAAAATAGCTGTAGTTATTCGCACCAAAGTGTAACATGGTTTCGCATTGCACAGTTGGCCAGACTACGAAATGCTGTATAAGTGATAGGGACCCTGCGGTGTGTCTGTACAAGACGCAATTAAATCCTGGTTCCTAAATTGTGCCTTGCGAACTCTTGGTGGTAATATTTGGTAACGACTTTTCTTATATGCCAATGATTGATCATCTGCATGAGGTAGAGTCCTTTCTGGAAAACTGACAGTTGCCTACTGTCACGGAAGTTGTAGTTTTATGTGTTCACGAATCCTCCACTTGACTCCTTTCTTTGAGATCACTTTTAATGTAGCCTTCGATATATGCCATGGTCTCGCAGTTTGTCTTCGCTGCAGGTTTTCCTACAAAAATGTTGTACTCATTTATAACTTTTCTTGTACGTATTATGTGTCTTGTGCACCTCGTCCTCCTTTACTTCATCAACCTAATAATCGAATGCAGAATATGGATTATGAAAGTATTATTTTGTACTTTTATCAGTCCTCCTGTTACTTCCTGTACTTAAATATACACATTTGCATCAAATCTTTGATCTTATACTCTTTGCCAGTATTACTTTAAGCGTGTCGCCCCCTCATCATAAATATCTCTGTGTCCCTTCTAAATTCAGCCGTTACGGATGCACAGTGGGAATGTTTAAGAGAGCGATAATTAACTTATAGGGGTACGCGGTAGCGTAGTTGGTTGAGGCACTGTGCTACAAGCCAGAAGGTCACGGATTCGTTTCTCAATGTCATTGATTTTTTCAATTTACCTAATCCTTCCAGCCGCACTATGGCTCTGGGATCGACTTAGCCCCTAACAGAAATGAGTATCAGGAATCTTCCTGGGGGTAAAGGGCGGCCTGCGCGTAAGGCCGACAGCATCACCGCCATCTGTGAGCCGGTTGTCAAGAAAATGTGGGACCCTCGACATCTCACAACCCCATGGGCCTCTATGGCCTGTTACAGGGACAAATTTAACTCTTTTTTTTTATAATGAGACTATTGACGGCGTCTGGAGATACACCAAGCGAGAAACTGAGGAGAAACGTAAAATTTCAGACGACTTATCATATTCTTCTAAGAAAAGTTCGGGAAGTGTCACATTTTGGGAACCACTTCCGTAGAGGCAACGGCACTGTTAGTGGATTGCGTGATTTTTTGACATATATAGGTACAATGACGTCTAGTGCTACGCTGTAATTGCAATATACTGTTCTCATTACACCGATTGGTACAAGTTATAATTACAGTGATTTTAATGGTAATTAGAGACACATGGGCTCTCCGACCACGGTGTGTTATAAAAAAAGTCAACGATTGCTTTCAGTCGTTAATACGGAAAAGGTATGCTTTCCTCAGCACGTCTTAGCAGATAGATGAAGGAGTGGAGGTATAGCTCCAGGCATTTTCAACCTCGGCACTTCATGACGTTGGATGGTTAGCTTCTTGACCCTTCGCTGTAGCTCTGGAAGAAAACCCCTTGTTCCCATTTGATACTAACTTGGTGACCTCCACAGCCAGTTTGGATATGGTGATGAAGAACTAAAACATTGCCTCTACTGGGAACATAACCCCGGTCTTCCAGCTCTTATCCAGCCACTTTATTGGCCGAGCTCCCCGCGATCACATCAGTTGTAGTTATAAACACTTTACAAATAACGCTTGCTTTTAACAGCTGTCACTGACGAGGTGTGTCAACAGTTCTATTTTGAAATTTTCTGAAGAAGTTCTGTGTCATTTTTATAAATGTATCCTGACAGTGGGAAATTTCCGCATGAGCTTTGGAATGATATTATGTGACTATCGCACTAATTAGTCTTAGTCTTATGTGTTTTCTTAGCAGTGAATATTTCTTAATTCTAATATATGCACAAGTTTCCCAGTCCTTTTTCTCTGTAGTTTATAGAAACCGAAAGTTCATGATCGTGTTCACAAGTCATGTTCCGAAGCAGACGGCTCCAGTCCGCACTCTCACATCACATTTCTCTAGGATTCATTCTCATATTCTCCCGTATGAACATACATTTCCTTACGTGTCTCTTCCGGTTTATTTGTTTCTATTATTTTGATGACAAGCAGTAGCATAGTTGGTTTAGGCACTATGCTACAAGCCGGATGGTCGCGGGTTCGCTTCCCGGTCAGTTCATTGGATTTTTTTTAATTCATCTAACTCTTCCAGCCGCAATAAGGCCCTGGGATCGACTCAGCCTCTAACAAAAATGAGTACCAAGATTCTTCCGGGGGGTAAAGTGCGGCTGGCGAGTAAGGCTGACAACCTCACCCCATATGTGAGTCGATTTGTCTAGAAAATGTTGGAGCCTGGACGTCTTACAACCTTATGGCTCATCACGGCCTGTTACAAGGATGGCTTTACCTTTTACCTTTTATGTTACTTAATTTTATTATTTCTTTTATTTATGTCGATGGAACTTCTAGGATAGGGATATGAACCTGAAAATTATAACATTTCAAGCCGTTTGTGGAACACATGCCAGCACACTGAATGGGAAATCAAGAACGAGGCGCGAAGCTAAGGTTTTGCTTCCTTATGGCTGGACCTTTCTTGCTGCGTGGCAATGAAGCATGGACAGTCACTGACAGAGATAACAGCAGATCACAGGCAACAGAAGAAACTTTCTGACAGTAGTCAAAAGAAGTACAAGACAGGATCATTTAAAAAACGAAGACATTGGAAAGGAATTAGGTGTGGGGTCAATAATGCAAAACGTATGAAACTACAGAAAGAGCTGGAAATCACTTATGCAAAGAATTCCGGACGAAAGAGTACCGAAGCAAATGATGAAATACTAGCCAAGTGGATGACCGCCTCGAGTAAAAGGAGGATGGAAATGTGAGGCGGGAACAGACTTAATCTCATCCATGCAGGAAGAAGAATAGGACTTCACTTTGTTATTTTTTGTCGTCTTATGCCTTTTAGCGTGGGGCACGCGTTAGCGTAGTTGGTTGAGGGGCTATGCTACAAGCCGGAAGGTCGCGGGTTCAAGTCCCGATGAGGCATTTTGATTTTTTTCAATTGACCTAATCCTTCCCGCCCCACTATGGCCCTGGGGTCGACTCAGCTTCTAACAGAAATGAGTACCAGGAATTAATTAATTTTCCTGGGGAGTAAAGGCGGCCGGCGCGTAAGGCTAACAACCTTACCGCCATTTATGAGCCGATTGTCTAGATAATGTGGGATCCTCAACATCTCACAACCCTATGGGCGTTCACGGCCTGTTACAGGAATAGCTTTACTTTACTTTTACTTATGCCTTTTAGCGACATCATGTTAACTTCATGGGGTATATGAAATGAATATAAAAAAAGTTTGACACTTCTTTGCAAGGCATATTCCTACATTTTCGAGCAAGTGACTGATGAAATCCACGATAAACTTCATTTGGGATTGTCGGTAGTCCTGGCGACATTCGAGATGGTTACCTCCCGGATATATTAAAAGTCTTCAGCCAAGGCTTTATTCCGTTATTTTCAAACAAGAGACTGAGGAAATCCACGATAAACTTTATTCGGGATGGTCGGTAGTCCTGGCGACTTTCGAAATGGCTACATCCCAGATACAGGCAAAGTCTTCATCATCATTTCTGCATCAACCTCCTCCGCAGATGGATTCACCGGATCGACTTCTTTGCAGTGACTCTTCTGTGTGTAATCCAATGGCCGATCTTTTAGTTTCATACGCGGATACACGCTTCGTTGCCTCATTCGTTTTTCCCCTTTTAATATTGTGTTGATTAACAAGAAAGTTGCAGTGAACGGAACTGAAGTCACAATTTTTATGTCGGAAAACACCCAAAGGGGTTTTCCTCCATGTATTTTTCACTGTTTATTATTTGTCTTCTAGTCACGGATTCACGCATTACTAATTGTAGCATGACTGGACAAAATAACTGTCACATAGGAGCAATTATGTGCGCCTTCTTAGACGGAAGGTTAGGTCTCCTCAGACAACACCATTTTGAATGGACCTGGGCGCCATTTTGTTCACGGTTGTTATAATTCGCTTTTACAATATAGGAATTTATTCTTGTGGAAACTTAGGTGGATCAAGGTCGCATGTGCAGTACGATTTAAAATATTGGCAACGAAATCACATGAGAATATATCATTTTCTGTGTTTAACAAGAGAAATAAGAACTCGTGATTTCATCTACGGCAAATAATTGCCGCTTTTTAAGCGAATCGGAGCAATATTCGATGAATAAACTCAACATATCTGTTAGAAGTATCAAAAGAGAAGCGA